TGGCATGTTCCCTTCTTTCCTGTGGCACTGTTCCTGTGCCTCTGATCGTGCTCCTGTCCCGGACCAGTGTCTGCCCAGCTCTTTGATGTGCTCTCCTGCACCATAAATCCTCCATGGGCTCTGCAGCCCCTCTGCAAGCCCTTCCAAACCTCCATCCTGAGACAGCTTCTACCCAAGGCCACTTTGTGACTTCAGATGGTTTTGTCACCTTGTGCCTGCACTTTGGTGCCTGTGATGAGTGGAGTGGGCTCCCCTTTCCTCCTGCCCAGAAGTGGAGCCAGGGCAGGTGGTCTTTGGCTGCAGGAGGGAAAAGCTGTATCCCAACATGGGTATTGCCCCTGGAGCAGCAAACCCTGCCATGAAACAAGGACTCAGACCCTTGTGGCCCAAAGCAATGCTGGATACCTGCAGTGTGCTCCCATCCTGCCCCTTTCTGGGACATGCAGTGTCCCCAGGCCCCCAGAGCTGGGTGTCTGTGCCCATCCTCTGCTCCAAGCCTGCAGCAGAAGGCACAGATCACTCAGAGAAAGGTCCCAAACTGCCTCATCAGCTGCCCACTCATGTGAGCAAATGCCACCAGTGGGAGCCGAGGCATCGCAATCCAGCCCAGAACGCTCCTTTGAAGACATTTCAGCAGCTCAATTAAGTTTCCACTTGTGTGTTTTCTTTTCCCCCCCTTTGCTTTCATGGTCATTTAAAACAAATAAAGTGAGCAGAACACGGCAGCGTGATAACCACCCTTTAATTCCCTTCCCACGGGTCTCCTGATTATTTGGTGATTCAGCGGCAGCGGGGGGAACGTTCACGGAAGGGAGGGTGGGAGCTTCCCACAGGGACAGCAGCTCACAGCCCAGGGCCCCCGAGCCCTGGGGAGGAAATACGTGCCTGGGGCTGTCCTTTCGAGCCCCGGGATGTGCTGAATGCAGTGCAGAGCAGGGCCCCGGGCGAGCAGCTCTCAGTGCCCTCGTTGTTCTCGCATTGTGCTCTGGGGACGGCACCAGCGCTCGGGATGTGTTTCACGCTTCTGTGCAAACACAATATGAGATGAAGAATTCATACCCTCGCACAAGAGCAGAGTGGATTTTCTCATAACAAGGAAAAGCAGCCAGATCGGAGCCTGCCAATTCCTGCCCCGTGCTCCCGCCTTCCCTAGGAAGTTCAAACAAGCCTGTGCTTTTAAACTGGTGCAAAGAAGTATATTACATTTTTTAAAAGCCAACACAAATCCTTTTGGATCTTTTTTACATTATTTCCCCCACCTCTGTCTCAGTAGGTGACTTTTCCAGCCCTCCCCCACTTGGTCTGCTGGGTGTGAGTGGGGCTGGAGGAGAATTCCATGTGTTTTATGTGTGTGAACAATTAATAGTGGGACTGTGTCTCGCTGGAAGAGCATGTAAAACACACCCCAGGAGGGGGAAAAGCACAACTGCCCAGCCTGCTAAACACTCCAGAGCTTTTCCTGTCCTGCAGGAAAACATGGTGTGGGGGTTTGCTTATTCATTAGCAGCAGTAAATAACGGGCCTCACCTTGAGCTCTCCTTCAGCCACTTCTGCTTCTCCCCAGCCTCCACGCTGGCAAGTCAAGGAAATTCTTGCTGTCCTCTGGGTGACAAACTGGGGGTTTGTAGCTGTTCACATTTTAGCTTTTGTTTCCCCCCTGAAAAGCTCTGTTCTCATCCTTGTGGCTTTGTGTTTCCCAGCATCCGAAGCACTGCTGCCAGTCTGACACTGGAGGCGAGTCCTGACCGCAGTGCCTGAGCTGTCAGTGCCACATCCCAGCTGGGCATTGTGCATGCAGGTGCTTTTCCCCGGCCAGGATGCAGGGTGCACCTGAGTCATTCCATACATTTATAATCTGATCCCTTGGAACAGCTCTGTCAGCAGCTTCTCCTCCCTCGTGCACTTCATGGAGATGTTTCCATCCCTGGGCGCCCTGGAAGTCCCAACAAGCCAGGAGTGGCCAGGACCTGCCAAAGCATGCTGATCCAGACACTGGGTCCCTGCAACCTGTGCTTTCCCCAGCACCTTCCTAAAGTGTCCTGAGTTCAAGTGATTCAGGGAGCACATTTCTGGACTGCCAGCGAGCTGCATCCATCACTGCCCTGAACATGCACCAGATTGTTAATGCTCCAGGCCAAATACCACGTCTTTTTTAATGCCTACCAAATGTAGAGCGTGCTGCTGGCTTTATATTTATAATAATTATTAAAGTAATGGCAGTAGCTGCATTCCTATAGGCTAGAAGTGGCCAGGAACAGACAAAAAAAATGATTCATTGTTCCAATTAATGCTCGAGCTCACACCGGTGATTAATTAGCCTGGCGATAGCGCTATGCAAAAGATCAGGGTGAGAATTAATAGGGAGACACGTGCTGACTTTTAAGATGGTTCCAGCTCTCTTTAGAGCCTTTCCTTGGGCCTGTTTAATTAGAGGCAGCGGCACCGGCTCGCTCCGCACCGACACCCCCGACGGCAGGCACTGAGCAATATTTATATGACAGGGTGCCGTGGAAAACTTCAAAATTAAATTCCCATCCAGGTCTCTAAATATAATTCTGAAATGTCAGAGATGCTGGGAAGAACGCTGGCGCTGGATGAAGTCGCTGTCAGGGAGAGGCAATAGTGTGCCAGATTTATACAGGCCTGAATAGGCAGGTGGCTTTTCAGTGTTTAAGGAGCCTGAGGTGCTCTGATGGATGTGTTTCACCTGGTGGGAGGCACAGGATCCCACAGGAACACATGCTGGAGCCTTGTGTGCCTGGCTTGGATGGGGGAGATGGAGTAGGGGCAGCAGTCCCAGGAGCCTGTGAGTTTCCAGGGGCACAAACCATTCTGGAGCACCAACCTTTGAAGGTGAGCCCTGTTGGCAAAGTTTCTCCTGGTTTTCTGTAGCCTCATTATCTCTCCCTTCTGCACATTGGTGCCTCCCACCACCCCAATTCATTTTTCCCAGTTGCAGCAGCTATTGAGTGCTTTATAGAGATGGGGTTGAGCCAGTCCCCCCTGGCTGCTCCCAAATCGCTGACGAGGCCGATTCCCCTGCTCACACATCAATCTGGGAGCACCAGCAAAGTTCCATCTTGGCTGACTTAATTGTTAGGAGCTGCAGCCCAATGTCTTTGTAAATAAAATAGTTTCATCTCATGGGGCCTGCCTGGAGAGAGGGGAATAAATACATCAATATGTAAATGGATCCACAAGAGGAGGATGAACTGGGACTTTGAAAAACTGATAAAGCATCTTAGGAGACGCGTTGTCACTGCACTTTGTGCACATTCTGATGAAGCAGCCAGTGAGGCTGGATCTCAGCCTGGGTTGGGGAGGAAGGGAGGGAGGGAGGGAGAGGGAAATGAAGAGGGAGGGAGGGAGAAGTGTGGGCACCAGCACACCGTGACTGCAATTCTTGTATGGATTGATTTGACTCAAATATATTCTGAGGCTGGTTTAATTGCTCCTTTAGTCTCAGGCTTTGATTTTCCCGTTGTTTTCACATGTCTGCCACTGAGACTTTCCTGCATTTCAAGCAGCCTGGCTGGGACAGTGTCCAGCCTGAGCTGCACCTCTGTGTGACTGGGAGTCAGCACCTGTCCTTGCCCAGCCCTTGCCCAGAGTCTCTGCAGCACAGTGGGCACGTGGTAATGACAGCAAAGGCCAGGCTTCTGCTGGAGGGGTGTTTTAGCTGTGTTACAACATTGGGGGTTATTTTGGAAAACAAATCCTGAAGCTTTTGGGACACCTTGTTCATGACGAACCTGTGCTGGTGTAACCCCTACAGGAGATGGGAGGGAACTGGGGGAGAGCAGCTGCAAGGAGCACGTGGGCAGTGTGCATCCTGCAGGATCCTGCCTGGCTGTCCT